ATCAAAATTTGATTTAATTACTGAAAAAATATTTATTTGTTATACGATTTTGATTAATTTACTCTTAAAAATTTAATTAATTCATAATACAACATTATTTTAAAACAATACAAGCATATACAATAAATTTAAATATAAAAAAATACATAATACATAAACTGTTGTTAATGGGATACTTGAGCTTGAGCTTTTGAAATGATTGTTTCCATATTAGGTTTTATATTAGAGACTGCAACTCTTAGATCTGATTCTAAGTTTAATTTTGTCCGATATTTGTTTTTTATAACTGTAAGAGCTGAAAACGCCGTTTCACAAAGGTAAGTGGTTGCAAATGGCAGAAGTGTTGATACAGCTACTTTTGACAATTCTGGGTATTCTGATTTTATAGAAATCCAAAATTTATCACTTGTAGTTTCATTAAATTTTATACGCAGATTTTCATCGGCAGATAACTCAATTAATTCCTCGTTCATAACTAAACTTAATTCAGAATTCATTTCATTTATATTAATAGAAAATGGATTTCTTATCCATCCCAACTTTTTTTCTGGAAACTTTTCAAACCGTGTGTTAAAATGGTTTTTCAAATTTTCGAGATGAAGTAATATTATGTCTTTTATTTTTTTAATATCAAATATTTCATTGTCAGCAATAAATTCTGAAAAACATGAAAACATTTCGAAGTTTTCATTATTAATATAATTTATCCATAAACTTATTTTTTTTTGAAAGCATCGATTTTATCGGAAAGAATTAATATATTTGTATTTTTACCTTGAAGACTTAAATTTAAATTATTTAATTTTTCAAAAATATCGGCAAGGTAACTTAAAATTGCTAACCATTCTTCATTTAAGAAGTGTTCTGCGAGTGTATTTTTATGTTCAAGGAGAAATATTCGTATTTCATCTTTAAGCTCAACAATTCTTAATAATATTTTTCCACGGGATAACCACCTAACTTCAGTATGAAGTAGTAGTTTTGTATGATCAGATCCCATTTCATTACATAGAATCGTAAATAATCTAGAATTTAATGATTTAGATTTTATAAAGTTAATTACACGTATAGAATATTGAAGTACTTCGTTGACAAATGGTTCAAGTTTTTTAGATGCTAAAGCTTCCCTATGAATCATACAATGAGTAAATAGTATACTTGGTGAAATTTCGTTAACTTTAGCTCTAAAACCTTTCTTTGATCCAGTAAGTGCTGCTGCCCCATCTGTACAAATGGCCTTACACATTGACCACGAAATTTCATTATTTTCAAAAAATGCATTAATAAGGGTAAATATGTCATTACCAGTGGTCCTGCCATTTAAAGTTTGACAAAATAAAAAGTCTTCTAAAATGTCTTCTTTGTAAATATACCTGACATAGACAAGAAGTTGAGAAAAGTTAGAGATATCTGTAGATTCGTCCAGTTGCATTGCAAAATAATTACTTCGCAATCTATTTAAAAGTTGTTTTAATATATATCATCAGATATGTTTGAAATCCGACGTGATACAGTATTATCAGATAATGGAATTGATTTTAAATCATTTGCATATGCCTCACCGTGCATAGCCGTTACAATTTTTATAGCAGCTGGCAAGACAAGAGATTCACCAATCGAATGCGGTTTTTTTGTTTTTGCTATTAAGTATGAAACCTCGAATGATGCAACTAAAGCTTTTTGTGAAACTGTAGAAAATTTATTTATAACTTTTTTTTGAACCTTTAATGCATTTTCATGTCTTTTAAAAAATTGTTTATCTTTATTAATATATTGCGGATGTTTCGTTTCTAAATGTCGTTTAAGTTTAGAGGGTTTCATACTTTCGGAAGTCAATATTTCTAAACATATAACACACTTAGGACGATGTTTACCTTTTTCTTCAATAAAAGTAAATCCAAATTGTATATACTGATCTTGATATTTACGTTCTTTTTTTTGGTTCTCAACATTTAAAGTTTTTTTTTCTTCCAATTCCTCGTTGATAGGCTGGTCCGTTGTTGTTTCCGACAGTTTACGTTTTTTATTTTCACTTGCACTTGCACTTGTACTTGCGCGTTTAATTAAAAATTTTTCCATTTTAAAACAGTATAGTAACGTACTTTATATCGCGTGAGATACATGTACTGCACTACTGCACGAATGACACCTAAGTAGGAACTGATTATTATAAATATTTGCGACTGAAATTGTTCAAATATACCTATCCTATGTATACGATACGAGTTACGAACAATTTAATAATCCATATCCGCTATCGATAAGATAATAAATAAGAAATTAAGATTATACGCTCCTCAGCATGTTCTATAATCTATAATTCTCTATATAAAACAAAATTAAAAATTATCTTTATTTTATTTTTAAAAAAAATGGAAAAATCATTTCATCTATTATTTTTGGCGACCCCCAAACCTATCATTCGCGACCCCCTTGGGGGTCGCGACCCCCAGGTTGAAAACCACTGCTCTAAACAATTGCTTGCCAATGTAAGATACAAATTACTTTAATGTTGTCATGATTATTATTATTAGTTATAACGTATAACTTATGCATATAAAAAGTATACAAGCATTAAAAACTATTTTCAGTTATCAAACAAAAAAAGCTACTAGGCTACATGTCTGGAAATGGGTGTTCCAAATTAAGTTGGTCTGAAGGTTCAAGGAAGGTATCTAAGCTTAACTGATGTTCCATTAGTATATTGGATGTTTATAAAGTGAACTCAACAATTTTCATTCTATAATTTCCTTAGGCCCAGATGGATTATCACGTATTTGTCTTAATAAGAATATACTTATATATTATTTTTGGGAATCATATATTATTATGTATACCTATACTGAAGTAGGTTCACATTACTATTTTAGATGTATTCGAGCTGCAGAAAATTATTGTTGGCCTACAGCAGAAGCTTCAATGCGTCATGCTCGTAAAAAAGTTGTGCCTGCTTTACCAATAAGCGTTAATGCATTGGCCGATTATCTAGAACAAAACCCAGAGCGTTACACTTGTTGTGAACAAGCTTTTTACCAAGATCGAACCGTAGATAATGATGGTAAAACAACAATTATATTTGGATGTTCATCATTTATCAGTGATGTAAGTCAAGGAGGAAACGAAGTTCATGCTGATGCAACTTTTAAAGTTACACCAGCCATGCCACAGTCTCGACAACTTTTTATTCTGCACATAATTGTTCAAAATCATGTGAGTTTTAGTTATAATTGATTTGTATTTTAACTTTATGTGGGGGAAATAAATATGAATAATTATAAAAATATTTAATTATTATTTCAGTCAATACCCATAATTTACGCGTTGATGGAATCGAAGACGGAAGCAGCATACACTCTATTGCTTACAAAATGTAAAGCTTTATTTCTTTCTATAATACCTAATTGTGTGATGACAGATTTTGAGACAGCTTTGCAAAATGCATTTGCAACTGTTTACCCTGAAACTGTTCCACATGGTTGCTGGTTTCACTATGTCCAGGTACTTAACAAATAATGTTTATTTGTATATAATATATATGTGTATAATTACTATTAGATTCTAAGAGTAGAAATTAATGAATTAATTTTACAATGTATTTTTTTTCTGGATCAGAAGGCTGTTTCTAGTAGGAAAAATGCTGTTATTATCAATTTTGTAAGAGGTTTCTTTCAAATTGAATCTATTCGGGGCTTTTGTAAGGTTCAACTATTGGAAATTTCATTTTTTTTAAATAATTGGAAAAAAAAAATATTTATTAAAATTGTTGTATTAAGTATAATAATTGTTTGGTAACTTCGGTTACCAAACAGTTAGACTGTCTTTGCTTAGAATCGTTTTTCATTGTGTCAATGATTTATATTGAATTCAAATTTAGCACTTCATCCATTTATATAACCTACTTAATAACAATATAGATTCAACTTTTAATTTACAGCAGTCAGCAGATTACCTACTTTTAAACTTATAATTTATATATTGAAATGGAATAAAAGAATAAACATTTTACTTCCATATGTATTTGCTATTTCTTCTAGATAAGGACTCCCCCCCCCCCCCTTTTAAAAAAAAAAAAAAAAATTTTTCCTCCCTTTTTTTTTTCTATTTTTTTTAAAAAAAGGCCCCCCCCCCCCCCCCTTCATAAAAATAAATGTAATATGTATTGTTTAATACTCCAGGGCAAGTATTATAAATTATCATCTCCAATTTAATTTAACGGACACTTGACCAGTAGAATTCTGCCCGTAATAATATCTCTTATCAGCCGGTTAGCGTAATTTAGAGCGTAACCAAAGATTGTAATACTGGCCCTAAAACTATTATTGTATACTTTCATGTTTCGATTTTCTATTTTCTAGGCATTAATAAAAAATGTTAAACGACTGGGTCTAGCACAATTCGTGAAGGAAAATGTTCAAGCCCAGATCTGTTTAAAAATGTGCGCTGCTTTAGCATTATTGCCGGTGAACAAAATTGACGAAGATTTTCAATTAATACGTCGCCGTGCCATAGATAATAATGTTAGATTTGCTACATTTTTTAACTATTGTTCAAAGTATGTGAAATTACTTAGAGATATATATTTTTTAAAATATTTAATGTAATATAATAAAATCAACTATCTTTAATTTAAGCTATTGGCTACGGAATAGAGGACCTGAAGTTTTTTCTGTTTATGGTTTACCTAGAAGAACTAACAACAATGTTGAATGCTTTCATTCCCAATTGAAGGAAAAATTCCAAATCCTTCATCCTAATTTATGGACATTTTTAGGTAATTAAATCAATATATTCTAAGTTTATAAAATCATATGGGTATTTGGTAAATTATTAATTTCTTAAATTATTATTAAATATAGATGCACCCTGGTAAATGTATTTTTATCAAAGCTAATTTTATATTTCTTATACACTTGAAAAATTTGAGCAGCAAGTACCATGTGACTGTAAGACAACTAGCACTCGGACAGAGAATATCACGTGCTGTTAAAGTTAAATATTTACTCAACTCGGGAAGAATATTAAAATCTACTCAACAATTAGACCTTGGGCATATTATATTAAAAGAATTTTTACACTACAATGCTCACACAGTGCAGAACGTTATATACGTGAAGAAATGAACTGGCACATAAATGTAGAACAAGTTAACCCATTAGGAATATAAAATTGAAACCAATTTTTATAAAAAAAATTGATACATGTTTTGAATTCAGGTGTAATAGAAGATAATGAAGATGTAATAGCTGTAAGAGTCGAAGGTAATGGTTTTTTTTTTAAGTATACCTACTTATTCTATTTTGAACCTAATTAAATTATTTTTTAATTGTGTCAAAACAGATCATCAACCAGAGCTTCTTAAAAGCTTAGAGCTTTTTTTCTAGGATGTGGCCGATTTCTATAAATTTTCGTTCTTTGGCGGCATAACCTTTTTTGTCATTGGATTTGACCGATTTCTATAAATTTTCGTCCTTTGGCGGCATATACCTTTTTTGTCATTGGATTTGACCGATTTCTATTGCTTTTTTTCTAGGATGTGGCCGATTTCTATAAATTTTCGTTCTTTGGCGGCATAACCTTTTTTGTCATTGGATTTGACCGATTTCTATAAATTTTCGTCCTTTGGCGGCATATACCTTTTTTGTCATTGGATTTGACCGATTTCTATTGCTTTTTTTCTAGGATGTGGCCGATTTCTATAAATTTTCGTTCTTTGGCGGCATAACCTTTTTTGTCATTGGATTTGACCGATTTCTATAAATTTTCGTCCTTTGGCGGCATATACCTTTTTTGTCATTGGATTTGACCGATTTCTATTGCTTTTTTTCTACACGATCCCCACCATTACCACCACCATTACCACCACCCCTAAAAATCCCTTAGTGTCCATGGTAAGAAGAGACTCTTGATTTTCCGTTTAGTCCGTGTACTACCTTTAACCGTTGTTCACGTATATTTACTCTCTCAGTCTTTAAAATATTTTTGCAAGTGTTTAAATTTATTTTTCGGTGTTTAAAAATAAGTATGGCTGGACCAGTTGCAAATATGGCTAATATTTGGAAGAAACCTTTTAAATATACTCCTCCGTCACCGCCAGCTGAACTCGTCGTGTCCACAAGTTACACAATTGACTTTACCAACCGTAAGTTTGTGCATATCGGTATTGACCCTACTGAAAATTTTCAAGTCGTCATCCATTTAATAACATCATCTCGCTATATTAAAATTTCACCGGATTTCCTTAAACGTATATTTTCGCTGATGGGAAATATACTGTCTTTCATATTGGAACAACCCGAAAAATATAAGCGTAGGTTATTTTTGGAAACGGAATTTAATAAGCTATCTAGTATGATGTACACCGGTGAAAACGTACTAGTGATAGAATCAAAAAATCAAGAAGGGTGCAGAATACTATTGAATCGATCGGACCTTATTCAACTTCAATACCTGGAATGGTGTATATTTGAAACAGTTACACGAAAATTGACCATCATACGACCAGTCGTCTTAAGGCAGTTTGAGACTATTGGTAATTATTTAGACCAGGAATTTACCAATGTGGAATCGCCTCCAAAAACAAATGAAGAAATGATCGTTTTTATCAAAAATTTAAGCGATGATAAAATTATTGGATTCGCTCCTAAAGAAGAAATGAATTTCATCAGTCAACTCAAAATAAATGCAACTATTCAATTAGCCGAATATTGGGCGCGACGTTGGAACGGAGGAAATTCACCAGAGGTAAGTCTTAAATTCGGTCGTAAAAAAAAAAAAAAAACAATACATATTTTTATTTTTATTTTTTTTTATTTTTAGTTATTCATTGAACCCGGGGCATACTCTAGTATGTCTCCGTGCTATGATGAAGATGATGATTCACAGGCACGGGTAATTTATAATTAAAATGTTTAAATATTAAATGTTATTAAATGTTATTATTAATAGGGAGCTGAAGAGGATAGGGCTATCAGAGAATGTTTAAAGGGGATTAACCCTACACAGGCGAACCCGAACACTAAGCCAAAGGTAATATGCACTTCATATAATTATTATTATTTAAATATTTAATACAAGTTTATTTTAGTCGCAGAATGTAGAAATGAGTCCTCCGATGTTACCACCGAGCATATTCGGCATTCACGAAGATCCGATTACATACGCAACACTCAGAGTCAGACCATCATATGTAATTTATATAATCATATTTATAAAAACATTATTTTATTATAATTTTTTTTTCAGCCGCTAGATCATATTGACGGCCCACATGATAATATTTCTAATCAACAATCGGTCGACGTAAACGACGGACCGGATTTTTTCGATCGAGACGTGCATTCACAGTCTCAATTCATCACCCCCACATCATGTGATCAAGCAACTTACGCTCTTCACCCCGCGCCGTCACGTAAACTGAAACGAAGACTACCACAATCACCCGCAAGTCCACCACCATTCGACGTAAATGACGGTCCGGATTTTTTCAATCCAATTAGTACATCAACGCCGATTCAACCAACTTACAAACAACACCCAGCACCAGTATGCAATGTTAGACGAATATTATTTTAATATTTGTAGGAAGTAAAATAATTTTTGTGTAAAATAAAAAAAACAAGCGTGATACTTTAAACATGTTTTTTCATTTATTAGAAAATAAGGTACAAAATAGTTATAAGATATAAAATATTTACAAGATATAAAATATTTACAAGGTATAAAAATAATTACAAGGTATGAAAAAATAATTACAAGGTATGAAAAAATATTTACAAGGTATAAAAATATTTACAAGGTTTACAATTTTCTAACATCGCCACTAAACGGGTTGTAAGTTATAATCTGGTCATGTAGTATTAAACAATATGCTGCAGTTTTTTCTGGAATAACTGTATCCGTTTCAAATTCAATACGTAGATCTATGGTCGATGACTTCACATTATCGTTTTGACGTGATAAATCAACTACGACGATTGGAACGTAGTTTTGAAAAATGTGTTTTGATAATAATGGCTCGCAATAATCTCGCTCATAATACGATTTTTGAAAGTCTGTATAGGCCTTATACAAAATACTGGTTGTATTATTTTTAAAATCTGCACGAAAGTCTTCGTACGGATACACTTCAGAATTTAAGTGGACCTTAAGGTTTTTTAGTTGACAGTGATAGAATCGCCCAGCATCGTTTTCAATATTTTTTTTTCGATCTGTTTGTAACCCAAACAGTACAAATCTCGGTTTTTCTAGCAGGCTACTAGACTTTACCGTCCACGAATGAGAAGTATTTCTAGGAAGTATCGGATATTCGCACAGGTCCCAAGTTCTGAACGCACACGACAGTGTTCTATGTGAATCTATTACTTTTATCAGTCTTAATTTTTCTTTATCACTGACTTTGATAATAGGCATCTTCCAAGTCACCTTAGTAAGTTCAATTTTAATTTTTTTATTTTTATCAACGGCTGCGGATGCGCCATCACCAACAACATGTATCGCATCAAGGTTGGTAGATGCACGATTTAAAATCAGTTGCTGATTACAATTAAGTAATATTTTTTTATAGTCTTCACAGAATCCGAATAAAATATGTTTTAGAGGGATACACCCGGTAAATACATCGTTGGACATAAAATTTTTATTATCTTCACTATCCATGGCCGAGTCCCAAGCAGCGCTCTCTAGAGTATTCAAATCGTTTGGAGAATACGAACAGTATGCTTTCAAGCAAGACGAAACTCCGGGTGATTTTAATTTCTGTATTTCTATTCCGTTTATTTCATATCGCATTTCAGAGAATAAAAATGCCAATCCGTTATTTGAAAAACGAACATCTCCAACAGCATCGGTTGGCTTATTTACTTTTCCCTCGATGTAAATATAACTTTCACACGGTAAAGTGTACGAATCCATATTTAAAATACTTATCCTTATTTCATCATTATTTGATAAAGACATGTTAGAGTACGGAGTGAACGAATGATAATTCATCTGCGTTATTTTACACTCATCGACATAGTCGGCCGTAACGTCTAAATACGTGTCATCCATAATTATACTTGCAGCGATCGGAGAAAATTTAAATTATTTTAAGTGAGCTTGGACTTGTTTTTTTTCGGTTTAGAAATAGTTTTTTTCGATTTTGACATAGATGATGACTTCTTAACGGCAGGTGGTAAACTGGCAGGTTTTTTGATTGTAGCTCTTTTTATATTAATGTTAAATTTGAGCGCCATATCCACGCGTGATTTGTAAACGGACTGTTATTGGTTCACCGCGAAGATTAATTAGACAGTCGTCTTGATCTTTTAGTACGACAATTACTCTACTTATAGATCTCGTGTTGAGACCGTAAAAAACTGGGTGTCTAGGTACCTCAACGATTTTATACCCAGCAGGCACAATGGGGTAAAGCTCATGTATAGTCTGGCTCGGCGCTCCGTCACAGAATGAGCCGGTGATTAAATTACACTCTACTTTTATACAGTTTATTTTCATTATGTTGACAATATTTTCAGATTCATGAGTAGCACCAGTAGTGTATAGTACATTTCTAAAACCTAGCAATTTCGCTATGCTATTCTTGACTCCTAAATCAACATCATGGCTGCACGATATCGTACACTTTAATGTTCTGCTGTTTGCTTTTAATTCAAACATAGTGACATAGTCGGGCATAATTTTTTGAATAATAGACTCTAACTGATTCAACTCATATGTTCCTGTAGGTATAATTACGTACTCATTTTCATTGATTAAATTACGAAAGGCAATAGTATTACAGCCAGGTTCTATGTTTGGTATAGAATTATTTGTCTGTAAACTCAAAAGACATATCTGTGCACAGTGTGCAGTATTTTCTACTTCCAACGGTGGAAAGATCTCGCATGACAGCTCACTAGAGTTTCCGTTTAACGTTAATGTGAACATGATAAAAATTTTAAACACAAATGTCCGCAGTTTGTAGTATTATAATTTTGCTCCCTGCTGTAATTGAAATGTATGTCACATCCGCGAAAATATTGTTGTACTTCAAGTGGGGGTGGTAAATTTCCAAAACTGTCGTAATATTCAACTTGATTTCCGATTTTTTTATACGCTACCCAATGCGTTCCTGTACCGTTTTCCGTGTCCAAGTTAATAATCGCTGATTCTTGGCGTTTAGGACGTGTAGATAACCTATCTCTGGTAAACACCCTCCGATGAAATGAGGTATTTTCATTAAACGAGCGATTTTTATAAGTTCGAAATCGTACAACGCTCTCCTGGGTAACGTAGATATTAGTTTTTTTTAGTTTTGACAACCCCTCCACTTTTAAATGGTGCGAGATGTAAACCGGAACCAATTTTGTATGAGTTGCCTTTATATGGTGTTAGATATAAACCTTTGCCTAAATGTGATGGTGTGTGTCTATTAAATTCATTAGCCATTTTCACAACGTTGGCAACACCACCAGTTAAGGCTCCCAGAGCTGACAAACCGGCGAAAATCGGTATGAGTGGTAACAAGCCGCCTTTTTTCGGGATAGTTATTGTTCGTGGAACTTTAGTCTTCTTAATTTTAAATGTTTTTCGCGCGACAGCTACACATTTTTTAGTTAATTTCATCAAGTTTTTTTCACCGATATTTTTCTTCATAACGTTTTTACTTGCTTTAAGTGCTGCTTTAAACCCACAACCTCCGCCTATTTTACGTTTTGTCTTCATAGCGGTAGTCACACCCCAAGCCACAGCTTTTTCTTTTAAACTAGAATCTTTTGACTTGAACCTATCCCAGGCTCGCTGCTCTAATATAAAATCGGCTTTGTTTCGATCTGCGATAGAGTTGCTATGTTCGTATGCAATATCGTGATCTCTACAAGCAGAGTCCAGAGGGTTTATTCACACGAATGGATATCAATTTTACCTTCATTGATTAAAGAGTACAACAACTCAAAACATAGGACAATAGGTATGACACCAGTGCAAGCTGATGCGAATCCGGCGGCTGTCGTAATTAAACAACGAAAAATTATTAATGGAACAATCAAATTTAACGTTGGTGATAACGTTCGTATAAGCACATATAAAGGTGTATTTACAAAAGGATATTTACCTAGCTGGTCTAAAGAAATATTCAAAATTGTTAAAATTAACGAAACATTACCTACTACTTATCAGCTACAAGATTATACTGGAAAACCGATTGCTGGTTGTTTTTATTCAGAGGAAATATTGAAAACAAACTATCCGAATGATTATTTAGTAGAGAAAATTATCCGTAAGAAGGGGGAGAAATTTTTTGTCAAATGGCTAGGGTTTGATAATACACACAATAGTTGGATAAATGTACGTGACATTAGAAAATAGTGTTAGTCTAGCTACAGACATGAACGTGTTCGGTAGTTCTCAGTCTAGTGAGACTAATACATTTTTAGTAAATCTCGAACAAATTGTTAAATCGTATTCGAATAAACTCGATAAAATTGAGCATTTACTTGAAGAAAACTATAAATCCATACAAATTCAAGAGGAACAAACAGAAAAGTTAGAATTAACATGCATAGAGATTACAGAGCATATGACAAGAGGCGAAGTATCATTACAATATATCAAGGAAACTATAGGCGAGATTAAAATAATAATACCAGCTATACTAAGCCGTCTTAACACTATAGAAACTTATTATAAAGACAAGCCATAATGTCTTCAGCCATATTGGACATGCAATGCATACTTGGCGTCAACAATAAATACATGATTAAAGAAATGTCTATAGTAGACACGTTTACATGGGCGACCCAACACTGGATTTTTAAACATTCAAAATCCATAGAGGACAACAAAAGTCGTAAAACCAACAAGTGGCTGGAACGTAATTATCACCAACTAGCTATAGAATTTGGTGATGTCGAGTACGAAGAAGTAGGTAAAATATTGAATTCATTAAAATTCAGTTGCATCTACGTCAAAGGTGAACAGAAAAAACAAGTTCTTATAGAGTATATACCACACGTCGCACTCATCAACATTGAAGACTTAGGCTGCCCTCGTTTGGATCAAATATGTGATGACGAGACTCTACCTTGTTGTATTTTTCATATGGAATTTAATCCTAAACAATGTACATTTTATAAAGTTTTTGCTATAAGAAAATGGTTTATAAATAATTCTTAAAAATAAAAACATGATAATATTTTAACATTGTTTTTTTTTTATTTTACATTGGTAACCTTTATAGATTAAAAATATATAGATTACAAAATATACATGGTATTTACAAAAAATATATATATATTTATATGGTATTTATACATGATATTTACAAATTAAAAATATAACCAAATATATATATGGTATTTACAAATTAAATATACATGGTATTTATAATTATTTCAATATTGTACGTGTTGTAATAGAAATATATCTCAAGAGTAATATTTACAATATAACACAAAACTATATACAGGTTAGGTTATGCAGTGTAGAAGGTCTCTCATTAAGCCTTTCTCTTCTTCCTTCCAGTTATGTCTTTCTTCATCTAACTCAGGCCAATCATCCTCGGGTTCATCTTCCCTATAAAATTATAAATATTAATATTAATTTATTTTAAATTTATTTTAAATTTACTTTAGAGAGTAATGTCCGTGAGCCAGTGTGTGTACTTTATCTTGCAGCACCACCCTCTTATCATCGAAGTTATTGAACGTTAATTTGTTCGATTTTATCGTCATCAGTTGATGCTTGAAAGAGCGGATGGAGACATTTTCTCTTTTATTTTTCCCCTCCTCTTCCTCGTCAAACAAACACTTTTTATGATTGTCGAACGTCATGTGATTCTTTACAACGTGTTTTCTAATTCCCTTGGCTTTGATCTTCTCCTCGCCATTCAAAATGTATGAATATGACTTTGCTCGCAGCGCGCAAAACTCAGTCATTATGAGCCCATCCGTCTCATCAGAAAACAGACCTGGGATTTTATGTCGTTCGGCATTGTAACATGGATGGTCCTCCGGTAAGTTGGAAGTATCCATTCGTTCGAGCAAGTTGTTATTATTTTTAAGGTCTTCGTAGAAATTATCAGTGTGAATAAAATATACCAGTGAGTCTATAAATTGTGTAAATTATGTAAATATTTATAATAATAATAATAAATATAAATTATTTATTACCTGTGTCGGTATACATCAACTGGATTTTATCCCCATAGTGGCTTTTCATTACGTTATAATGATAATCATATATTAAACTCTTGCTTATGTCAAGAACCGCGAGGCCTATGAACATTAAAAAAATCGCATTAATACCTTTATATATCTAAATTATTAATAGAAAAATTACCGATATAAATAGGTTTACAAAAATTAATGATTTTTTTTTTTAATGTTACTGCGTTTAAGTTTTCGGAATAGGTGGTGGAATATTTAAATGTCGATCTGTTTATTAATTTCTGCAAACGTCGGTTGCACGATACAAGCTCCATTTCCATACGTTTACGAACGTTTTCCATCGTTTTTCCTACAATAAAAAAAAAAAAAAGGATAATTAAAATTATTATTATTATTATTATTTATAATAACATACCGATTACAGCATTATTCATCAATTTGAAGAAATCCCGCTCAAATTCATTTTTCGCCTTTTCCCTCATATTAGTGTTTAATTCAATATACTGGGCAAGCCAAGGTGATTGCTTAAATTGAATAACTCTATGCACCTATAATATAAATGTTAGTAATTCTATGATAAAATATCATTATATGATATTCACCTTTTCAACTATGAGACCATTGTTTAAGGCTTGCTGAAGGTTTCTATAGTGAATAATATAATTTTTCTTAGGCTCAAATGTAGCCATGAGTTTGCGTACTTTTGAACCTGGTGGTACGCTGTTTTGTGGTAGGAATGGTAAGTCGTTATGTTTATTATGTAAATTTTTCGGATAAACAATGTCAACCTCGTAAACCCGTCCTATGGGTGAATCTTCAGTCAAATCGTATAAGCCGTCGAGTGATGGTTTAACCCACTTGAAATCTCCGTAGGGCATAAACTGAGACATTGCCCAGCCGTAAAGATTATTACCTAAAGTTTAAAAAGTTAATTTAACTATATAATTATTATTTATAAATAAACTTACAATCCTGATACACAAGCCATGATTTTGGATCTGCCGGGTTGTAATCTGGTGTTTTTTCATTGTTTGATTTTGCATACCGCATGCTAGCTTGTGTGAGTCCACCTCGAATACCTAGAAAAAATTGTTATTAAATGCATATAGAAATAATATAATCACAATATACTAACCGTCTTCAAACATGAGAAGCATTTCATAATCCGACAGTAATTCTAGTTTTATCGCCGTGTATTTCAACATTGCGTCGAAAGAGAACCCCGGTGCTGTATAATAGTATGCCGGGTCTAAATGGTATGTATTCAAGCAAAGGTCACGGAAATTTTCAAAAACATCCGCCAGAAGTAAAACATCGACTTTTAAATATAGATTGGAATATTCGCCCAGCGTTTGACAATTGAAGTGGTTCCAAACTTCTACCGCAAACTGATATTCCGTATCTTTAACATGTTCTTCTGTCAGAACGCTATAAAAATCTTCTATAGGCGGCAAAGAGGTTTGTTCGAGCTTAGACCAATCATCGGTGAAGTCGTAAGGATATACACCCTTACGAGTGACGAACGGTAAATCATTGTTGGAAAAATGTTCTGCCGTTATACGGAATTTTTCCAAGTTTGGCGTTATTAGATTGTTGGCGAGAGTTGATAAACTTGTAGCCATAAATCTAAAAGTATCCACGAATCTAATGGTAAAATCGTTACTTATATATTTTGAAAAAGTAACGAATTTCTCCTCGCTGTTCGGAATTACTTTTATTCTTTTTGAATTATAACCTAGTTCTGTTACAATGAAATGTGCATCATAGTTGGATAGATTGTGGATAAAAACTGGAACGTAGTTTGGTTTTTTAAGACTTAGATTACACCTACTACACAAGGTCTGTCTGAATTTCCCAGTCAAATGATCGTGATCACGGACACGGGTGTTTGTATCAACATTACATTTGCATAAATTACATTTAAAACATGAATTATGTTTAGCTGTGTCTTCATCGGTCATGGTCAGAGCAATGTTCGTCTTTAATAATTTTTCTATTTTCTCGGCAACGTCAGTGATATTCTGTATAAAATGTTTTGCCACGTCTTGCCTGCTTTCACTACCTCGGATTCTAACTGGTTTAATCGGTATGTTAAATTTTGTTAGCAACTCTATTGGAACATTTTCAGACGCCTTAACTAAAAATCCGTAACTCATTGGACGGTGTTTTTGTATTATTGTTGTATTACCCCCCTTTTTCTCTTCGGTCTTTACAAGCAGAGCCTCGAAATCGGCATATATAACTATGGGATGTCTCTGCGCGTTTTGCCCGAGGTGAATTGTAGCACATCTCCTTCTTTTGGCATTATAGGTCGTAGGGGTTTATGTGGTCCGCATATTAGCCTGTGATGTTCAAGCGCCGCCTACCCGCTTAACTTATACTTTAAATTCTGTCTGTCGAACGATGTAAAGCAACGTATTGTATTGTTTACTTTATTACTAAGTGTAGATTTTGTGATACCTAGCTGTTTTTTTCTCACGATTATACATTACTTTAATTACTGTCAAAATGTATAACAATTAACAACATACAAATATACAATTGTAATCCATAAAAAAAATTATAAAAATTAATAGATAGTATAGTTTAGTATCATTCATCATTGATTGACAAAATGAGTAAATTACGCCAAATGTCCGTATCATAATCATGCAATGCATTAAGTCTGTAACAAACCGACTACGTCCGTTTGATGGTGTTGAAAAATAAATGAAGAAGAGTTGTCTTTTTCTTTATAAATTGAATACTTTTATTTGATTGATACAAAAACAATAAATTTACTAAGTCCAAAGTGACTATATTAAATAATGGAGACTAGCGAGATGTGACTGTCATATCCTAGCTATTAGCTCGTCGTTGGTGTTGGTCCGTCTAGCTCGTTGGTGTTGGTCCGTCTAGCTCGTTGGTGTTGGTCAGTCTAGCTCGTTGGTGTTGGTCCGTCTACCGAAGCCCATTCGAGCGACGTATTATAATGGCTATACTTGGATCGTATCCCTGCTTTTACCATATAAGGTCATACCGTGGGCGGCCACGCGCTGCACTCACCGGATGTCCCTTGCCTATCTGCTCATTGTCATCTCTGTGACAACACAACGCTGTTAATGCTTTTAATGCGACTATTTTAATAATATTCATATGAGTAGTGATATATCTATGAACACATACGTTTGGAGGTCACGCGCAATTATTTATGGTACTTCGTAGGCCTCCTGCAACTAACATATTATATATATATATATGGAGTTCTTCTTATTCTTTGAGTGACATCGTGTCAATCACATGTTTCTTTAAAACTACCCGTGGGATTCACTGGAGTGATTATTTATAATATTTAAACATAGTCACAGCTCGCTTTAAGTCCAAGTATAGATAGGTACTCAAACAAATCCTTACAAAAAAAAAAAATGTATTTATATAATATACAATGGCGCCTGGCCACCCCCTGAATGTCTCAAAAATTGGCCAAATATCCCCGTCCCCCCCCTTAAATACGGCCCTTAGAGCTCTTTCACACTCGCCGATATTATCGGTGTCGGTAGAAGTAAAATTGTGTGGTTTTAAATAAATTCACATTGACACCGATCCGATCCGCTGATCCTTGCTAATCCGCTGATCCCTGCTGAGCCCGCCGCCCGGTCGTGCACGTGCGCGAGATATATATTATCATTTATCATTATTACCGTTATCACTTATCACTTGTCATTATTACCGTTATCACTTATCATTATTACCGTTATCACTTATCATTATTACCGTTATCACTTAACATTATTACCGTTATCAGTTATCACTTATCATATATATTATATCCGCGCTAGACGTGTACAATTACATGACGGGAAAAAAACTACAAAATAATTTAACGGGTTTCGAACCCTCGACCCCCATATTATAACGATGACGCTTTAACCCACTAGGCCACATGACTACTTATAGACTTAGCGTTATTTTCACTCATTTAACTAGATAAATATAAAATATTACGTATAGTATACAAATTTATAACATAGTGTAATCATAATAATATCTTTCGGCACATAGTTAACATCAACCACCATAATTTACCGTTATAAGTATATACCTTTGTTGACATCGGATGTTGCCGATTTCTATAAATTTTCGTCCTTTG